GTAAGACCAAGTTTAGCTTGGAAGAGACTGCCACACACCTTCCCAAGTGGCTGTACCATTTTGTGTTCCCACCAGCAATGTGTGAGAGTTCCTGTTGCTCCTCATCCTTGTCAGCGTTTGGCGTTGTCAGTGTTTTGGATTGTAGCCGTTCTCATAGCCATTCTCGACGACACCTAATTACATAATAGGCGTGCAGTGTGAGTTCATTTTTGTTTCAGTTTGCAATTCCGTAATGATATATAATGTTGAGCATCTTGTTACGTGCTTATTTGCCATTGTCTGTCTTTGGTGAGGTGTCTGTTCAGATCTTTTGTTCAATTTGTAATCAGGTTGTTTGTTTTTTTGTTTTTGAGTTTTAGGAGCCCTTTGTATATCTTGGATACAAGTTCTTTATCAGATATGTATTTTACAAATATTTTCTCCCAGTCTGTGGCTTGACTTTTCATTCTCTTAGCTGTGTTATTCACAGAGCAGAAGTTTTTCATTTCAATGAACTTCAGCTTACCAATTTCTTTCTTTCATGGTTCATGCTTTTGGTATTGTATTTTAAAACTCGTCACCAAACCTAAGATCGTTGAATTTTTTTTCTGTGTTTTCCAGATGTTCTATAATCTGCATTTTACATTAGGTCAGTGATCCATTTTGAGTTAATTTTTGTGTAAGTCATAAGGTCCGTGTCTAGGTTCATTTTTTACATGTGGACATCGAATTATTTCACCACCTTTGGTTGAAAAGACTTTCCTCCCTCTGGTGAGTTGCCATTACCCTTTTGTCAAAGATCAATTGACCACATTTGGCTGGATCACGTCTGGGCTCTCTATGCCGTTCCATTGTTCTGTGTCTATTCTTTCACCAGTACCACCCTGTCTTTATAGTAGCTTTATGATAAGTCTTGATATTGAGCTTATAAGTCCTCCAACTTTGTACTTCCTCAGTACCGTGTTGGCTGTTCTGGGTGCTTTGCCTTTCCATATAGACTTTAGAATCAGTTTGCCTGTAAAACGGCTTGCCAGGGTTCTGATTTGATTGTGTTAGTCTGTGGATCAAGTTGGGAAGAATTGACATTTTAACAATATTGCATCTTCCAATACTTGAACATGGACTATCTCTCCATTCATTTAGATCTTCTTTGATTTCTTTCACCAGAGTTTTGTTAGTTTTCCACATGTAGATCCTGTATATATTTTGTTAGATTTATACCTAAGTATTTCATTTTTTTGGCATGCTACTCTCAATGGTATTTGTTTTTTAATCTCAATGTTCAGTTGTTCAGGAATTTATCAGTGGGAATCTGCAACAAGTCTTAGAGGGAAATCTTGCTCCCTTACTAGTGAGTAAAGAGGTCTTGACTACAGTTGTGACAAGGCATCATGGCCATCTGTTGAGTTCCTAATTAGTCACCTAGATAGGAAGGGGAAAGTGAAGTCAAGATTAAGTAGCTTCATGTTTCCAACAAGTAAATCTTGACTGTGTTCTTGAAGTACCAAGCTATAGTGAAATGATGAAGAGGCCCTGAGGTTTTCAATCTTGAATGGTGGGGAGGAAGCGGCCTTGTAGATGAGAAAGTCCCACAGCTGGCTGGGTGTTGGAAGTTCTGTCACCCGTTGACAAGTCCCCACTCAGAGCTCATGAAGACTTTAGGGCATGATTCATGTATGTGACTCAAAAAAAAAAAAAAAAATTCAGTTGTTTTTACAGGAAAGCAGTTGACTTTTGTTCATTACCTGATCTTGTATTCTGTGACCTTGCTATACTCACTTATTAGTTCAAGATTTTTTTTGTTGATTCTGTGGGATTTTCTGAGAAGACAGCTACGTCATTTGGGAACAAAGACAATTTTATTTTTTCCTTCTCAATCTTATTATACCTTTGATTTCCTTTTCTTGTCTTGTTGGACTAACCAGGCATCCAGTACGGGGTTGAATAGGAGTGATGAGAGACGACATCTTTGCCTTTTTCCTGGTCTTAGGAGGAAGGCTTCCAGTTTCTCACCATTAAGTGTGATGTTAGCTGTGAGCTTTCTGTAGGTGCTCTTGTTCTTTTTTATTATCGTGCTGAGAATATATACAACAGAACATACGCCATCTCAATAATTTCTACAGGTATAATTCAGTGACATTGATTACATTCTTCTTCAAATCGTGCAACCATTCTCACTATCCTTTTCTGAATTATTCCACCACCAACATAACCTCAATGCTGCCTAAGCGGTAACCCTTCCCTCCTGCGCCTGGTAACCACTAATAATCTTTCTGTATGTTTGCGTATTTCATGTAAGTGTGATCATACTGTATTTGCCCTTTTGCAACTAATTTTGCTCAGCATGATGTTTTCAGGGTTCATGCATGTTATAGCATGCGTCAGGACTTCATTTCTCTTTCTGGCTGAGTAATACTCCATTGTGTGTACATACCGCATTTTGCTTACCCATTCATTTGTTGATGGTCATTTCAGTTGTTTCCACCTTTTGTGAAAAGTGCTGCATTGAACATTGGTATACAGGTTTCTGTTTGCATTCCCGCCTTCACTTCTGGGTACAGACCTAGGATTGGGATTGCCGGGTCATACAGTAGTTCTGTGTCCAACTTTCCAAGGAACCGCCAAACTATTTTCCACAGTGGCTGTACCATTTTACATTCCCACTATCGAAGGATGAGGGTTCCGGTTTCTCCACAACCTCTCCAACATCTGTTGTTTTCTGTTTTTTTGATCATTGCCATTCTCATAGTGGTATTTTGTTGTAGTTTTGATTTGCATCTCTGAGTCGAAATCGACTTGAAGGCAACAGGTTTGGTTTCTTTTGGTGTAATGGCTGATGACATGGAGTGTCTTCACGTGCTTGTTAGCCATTGGCATATTCTCTTTAGTGAAATGTCTGTTAAAGTCCTTTGCCCATGTTTGATCGGTTGTTTGTCTTTGTTGTTGTGGGTTGTTTAAGGAGCCTTGGCACAGTGGTTAAGTGCTCAGCTGCTAACCAAAAGGTCACTGGTTCAAACCCACCAGCTGCTCCACGGGAGAAGGATGTGGCAATCTGCTTCTGTAAAGATTACAGCTTTGGAAACCCGATGGGACAGTTCCGCTCTGTCCTATAGGATCGCTATGAGTTGGAATCTACTCGACGGCAATGGATTTGGATTTGGTTTGGTGGGTTGTTTTTCTTTTTGTTAAGTTGTAGAAGTTTTTTATATATTTTGGATATTAGACCCTTATTAGATATATGGTTCCCAAAAATGTTCTCCCAATCTGTAAATTGTCTTTTCACTTTTTTGCTAAAGTCCTTTGATGAATGAAAGTATTTAATTTTTATGGGGCCCTGTATATCAATTTTGTCTTTTGCTGTGCTTGCTTTTGCTGTCATATCTGATAATCCATATCTGATAATCCTGCAACCACACTCCTATATTTTCTTCTAAGGATTTTATGGTTTTAGTTTTCATGCTTAGGTCCTTGATCCATTTTGAGGAGCCTTGGTGGCGCAGTGGTTAAAATCTCTCAGCTGCTAACTGAAAGGTCAGCTGTTCGAACCTACTAGCTGTTCTGTGGAAGAAAGGTATGGCAATCTGCTTCCGTAAAGATGTACAGCCTTGGGAACACTATGGGACAGTTCTGCTTTGTCCTTCCTATAGGGTCACTATAAGTCAAAATCAACTTGATGACAGTGGGCTTTGGTTTGGGTGCGTTTTGAATTGATTGTCGTCTATGGTGTGAGGCATGGATCCTGAGTCATTCTTCTGCATGTGAATAGATGATCTTTATTAAAGAAGTTCTCCTGCATTTCAAGATTGCTGAGAGTTTTTATCGTGAATGGATGTTGGATTTTGTCAAATGCTCTTTCTGCATCAGTTGATAGGATATGTTTTTTTTCTTCTTTAGCCTGTTGATGTAGTGGATTACGTGGTTTGATTTTTAATGTTGAACTAGACTTGCTTACCTGAAACAAATCCCACTTGGTTGTGGGATTCGATTTGTTAGTGTTTTGTTGAAGAGTTTTACATCTATGTTCCTGAGAGATACTGGTCTGTAGTTTTCCTTTCTTGTGGTGTCTTTATCTGGTTTGGGTATTAGGGTTGTGCTGGCCTCATTGAATGAGTTAGGAAGTGCTGCCTGTGGTTCTTTTTTTCTGGAAGAGCTTGTGGAGTGATTTTTTTCCCCCAGTTTCATTGATTTTAGCTCTTAGCTTTATTTTTCCTTTGTTCTACTTGCTTCGTTCAGTTTGCTCTTTTCTTTCCAGTTTCTTCAGGTGTACGCTTACGTGATTGATTGGAGGCTTTTCCTCTTTTCTAATGTACACATTTATTGCTATAAATTTCCCTCTAAGCACCATTTTAGCTGTGGCCCTCAAATTTTGCTATGTTATATGGTTTGTTCTGTTCAAAATATTCTCAAGTTTCTTTTAAAAATACTTCACCGATCCATGGATTATTTAGAAGTGTACTTTGTAATTTCCAAGTATTTGGAGATTTACCTGTTAAATCTCTTTGTTAATTTTTTGTTTAATTCCATTATGGTCTAATTCCATTAGGTTTTATTCCTTTAGGATTTCAATTCACTTCACTGTGTTCAGGCTTGTTCTGTGACCAGACTGTGGTCTGTTTTGGTGAATACACATTCACACTGGTGCGCTTGAAGAGTGGGGTGCAGGTGACTCCAGGGATCTCAGTCTGCCTTCCCCCCAAGAACTCAGAGCACCCAGAGCCATGTGCAGGGGCCGATGTGGTGCCGTCTGGGGCAGGAATGGGTGGAGCGGGCCTGCCATCGGGCCCAGGACTTAGGACCCCCAGACTGACTCCAGCCCTACCTGGGGTGGGGGCTGCTGAGACAAGACCTTTACACAGACATAGGGTTCACCGTCCCAGTGTCCCTGCCAAGCTGGGTGCTGGTGGAGCGATGCTGTGGCCCGCCAGGCCCACTGACGGGGCTGTGCTGGCTTTGCAGACTGTCCATGACGGCCGGCAGTTTCTGAAGTACATCGACCCCAGGCTGGGGGTCCCGCTGCCTGAGAGGGACTATGGGGGAAACTGCCTCATCTATGACGCGAACAACAAGACGGACCCCTTCCACAACATCTGGGTGAGAAGCCAGGTGCCGCCCTTGTCCTGGGGAAGGCAAAGTGCCCCGGTGCGTCGTCCTTCTGGGGGTCCGCCATGCTGCACGGGGACACTGTGTTCTTAGCAAGCTCCAAATGCCTGCTGCCAGTGGCGGGTGTTTCTGGAATGTCCTGGACAGGATGGGGTGTGGGAAGCTTGTGGTGGCACCATCCTCCCTCCTGCTTGCCCCAGGGCCCCCACAGGCTGCAGCCTCCACATTGCAGGGTGTCCTGGGCGCTGACCCATGGCGATAGAGGATGAGGGCTGTGGTGGGGAGTGGGGCGGATTGGGGGACACACGAGACACGCAGATGCACTGCTGCCCCCAGGACAAGCTGGACGGCTTTGTTCCTGCGCATTTCCTCGGCTGGTACCTGAAGGTACGGTGACCACCGCGTTGGACCAATGCACCCTTGCGCTAGGCGGCCGCCCACACTCGGGCTTGGAAACAGCAGCTTGTGCCCTGGGGGGCCACACCCTGGCTGGATCTCATGCCCTGGTTGGGGTGCCCAGCAAGGTCTGAGGCGGGGGGAACCCCTGGGAGGGAACAGCTGTGTTGCGGTGGGAGCTGCCACCCTCAGATGGCACCGCCGTCCGGCCCGTGGTGTCCCGAGCTGTCGTGTGTGCAGAGGGTCCCTGAGGCTGGGTGGGGACCCCGGTCACCCAGTGTGTCCTGCAGACCCTGATGATCCGTGACTGGTGGATGTGCATGATCATCAGCGTGATGTTCGAGTTCCTCGAGTACAGCCTGGAGCACCAGCTGCCTAACTTCAGCGAATGCTGGTGGGACCACGTAGGTGCCCCCCACTGAGTCCCACAGGTTCGGTCACAGTCGGTAGTCACCCGTGCGGCACCTGGCTATGACACGGGGGGTGGAGGGTAACGTGGGGAGGCGTGTGCTCCCTGCGGCCCCCAGATGTGCGGGCAGAGCAGGTCGGCAGGGGCTCTCGGGCCTCCGCAACCCCATGCCCCTCACCTGGCCCCCCAGTGGATCATGGACGTGCTTGTGTGCAATGGGCTGGGCATCTACTGCGGCATGAAGACGCTCGAGTGGCTGTCTCTGAAGACGTACAAGTGGCAGGGCCTCTGGAACATCCCCACCTACAAGTACGTCTCAGGAGGCACCCCACTCTCAGGGGGCCGGGTGTGGGGGCTGCAGATGAGCCCAAGGCCCAGGCCTGGCTCCCGCCGAGAGTCAGACCCTCCTCGCAAGTCCTTGTGTTCATTGCCCAGGGATGCCAACGGTGGGACCCCGACCCCCAGGCCCCCGTCAGGGGCCACCCTGCCAAAAACTGCTCCTGGTGGCAGGGACTTCTGGGGCCGCGTTCTCTGCCATCAGGCTGAACCGAACGCGGTTCCCCACACTCGCCCTCCTTGAAGGGCCCTGGGATGGTCTGCCCTCGCCGCTCGTGCGTTGTAGGGCAGTTACGGGAGCTCTACCGTCTAAGTGGGAATTAAACAGAGTCAAGAAGGGCCTTGGGCTGCGGCCGGGCCGGTGCTGCAGCCCGTGGGTGGAGAGTGCTGGGCTTGGCCTCTCCCGGCATCCATGGGTGGCTGGCTCTTCCCGGTGCTTAGGGGGTGGAGGAGAGGGCTGGCTTCGCGGGTCAGTCTGGGGGGCTCAGACCGGCAAGTGTAGGAGGAGGACTTGAGCTGGGGCAGCCAGCCCCTCCGTGCCTGCCCTCAGGGGACCCAAAAGGGTCCCGGGCAGTGCTCTGCCCCAGAGGGCGGGGTTCATGGGTGCCCGCGGTCTCCAGGGGCAAGATGAAGAGAATCGCCTTCCAGTTCACGCCCTACAGCTGGGTCCGCTTCGAGTGGAAGCCCGCCTCCAACCTGCGCCGCTGGCTGGCCGTGTGCGGCATCATCCTGGTGGTGAGGCCCCACCTGTGCTGTGCCGGGACCCCTGAGCCCCAACTGACCCTTTGCTGTGCGGAGCGCTGTCCCCTGGGCCTCCAGCCCTGCCCCTCCCCTGAGTCCCGCCCGTGGACCTCCGGGCCCGCCCCCTCTCCTCAGTCCCGCCCCTGGACCTCCGGGCCCGCCCCCTCCCCTGAGTCCCGCCCCTGGACCTCCGGGCCCGCCCCCTCCCGAGTCCCGCCCCTCGACCTCCGGGCCCGCGCCCCCTCCCCTCAGTCCCGCCCCTGGACCTCCGGGCCCGCCCCCTCCCCTCAGTCCCGCCCCTGGACCTCCGGGCCCGCCCCATTCCCGAGCCACAACCCACCCTGGGCCCTGATCACGGGACAGCCTGGGGCTCACCCTCCTCTGCCCCCCAGTTTCTGTTGGCAGAACTAAACACATTCTACCTGAAGTTCGTGCTGTGGATGCCCCCGGAGCACTACCTGGTCCTCCTTCGGCTGGTCTTTTTCGTGAACGTGGGCGGCGTGGCCATGCGTGAGATCTACGACTTCATGGATGACCCGTGAGTTGGGGGCTGGGACCGCGCCCTGCAAGCCCTCGTGTGTGGGTCAGGCAGGGAACCTGACCACCACCACCCCTGCAGGAGGTTCCACAAGAAGCTGGGCCAGCAGGCCTGGCTGGTGACGGCCATCACGGCCACAGAGCTGCTGATCGTCATCAAGTACGACCCGCACACACTCACCCTGTCGCTGCCCTTCTACATCTCTCAGTGCTGGACGCTCGGCTCCGTGCTGGTGCTCACCTGGACCGTGTGGCGCTTCTTCCTGCGGTGAGCGAGGGAGGCGCGGCCTGGCGTGTCACCAGCACGTCTCCAGGACTGGAGTTTTAGCTGCTGTTGGGGCTCCCTGTGATTGTCGCCCCCTTTGGCCTCTCCCACTCCGGACAGCCTCTCACCAGCATGCGGGTGACCTTCCCACCTTCCTGACACCTCCACAAGCATTCCTCCCCACTTGGTGGCGCTCGTGACTCCAGGTGTCCCCAGGACCCGCACTGGGGCTGGTGCAGGGGCAGGCGGTGCACGGCCTTGGCTGCCACATGACGCTCCCCCCCAGGGACGTCACTCTGCGGTATAAAGGGGGCAGGGGCAGGTGGTGCGCAGCCTTTGCCGCCGCGTGACGCCCCCTCTCCCCCAGGGACATCACTCTGCGGTATAAAGAGATCCGGCGGCAGAAGCAGGAGAGCCGGGGTGACAAGGGCAAAGCTGTCGGCAACGGAGACGGCCACTCGCTGGGCCCTGAGGACGACGTGCCAGAGCCCGAGGGGGCGGGAGGGCCAGCTCCAAACTGACGCTGCCACCTGGCCGGCACCCGTGACTGCCCTACCCATCTTCCTCACCCGCCCCGCTCCTGTCGCGTGGCCCGCAGAACCACCGACAGGCCCTCGGCCCTCCGGTCTCACATTCCTTGTCTTCCGGCAGGAGCATCTGCTCCCAGAGGTGGGGCGAGGGAGGCCCCCGTCCTGGGTTTCGGCTGTGTGTGTGCGTGTTTGCGTGTGCATGCCTTTGTGTTTACGTGTGTGTGTATGTGTGTTTCTGTGTGTGTACCTGCATGTGTATATACGTGTGTAGGTACGTGTGTGTGTATGCACGTGTGTGTGTGCTGTGTCTCTCAGTGTCTCGGGCTGTGAGCTGGCCGGTGAGGTCAGGGCTGGCTTGAGGGGCAGCGAGTCCTGTGGGAGCCACCCACATCCCCCCTGCTCCCCTCGTCCTGGGCCCGCCACTCCTGTGGCCCCCCAGTTAGCTCTGAGACTGGGCGGCCGTGCAGTGGGGGACAGAGGCCCCTGGGTTTCCACACAGGCTCTGCCGGCCTCGAGGCCCCAAGTGCACCTCCAACGGGCCCCTGGCTGCACCGTTGGAAGTGGGGTGGCTACGACACCCCAAGATCCCTGGAAGCGTGCAGGTCCCAGTGGGACACCGAGCCGTTTCCCGTGGAGCATTTATGTAGCAGACTGAGTGCGGGCCGGTGGACGGGAGGCCTGTCCCTGTCGGGCTCCCCCACGAGCAAAGAGAACAAATAAAGCAGTGACAACGACCGTCCAGCTCTGGGTCCCTCGCTGCCCGGGGCCTTGGGGGTCCGGCCGTGGTCACTGCTCAGACCAGAAGCTGTGGTCCCGGCCCCGGGCTCCCGCTGCCGGCTGTGTCATCCCCTCATCCCGTGGACCCCCATGAGGAAGGAGCTGGGACGGGAGAGCCCAGAGAGGCTGGTGGTGGTGGTCGAGGCCGGGCTGTGGAGGGTGGGTTCCTGCGGGACAGCCAGCTCACAGGGCTGGTATTTCCAAGCTTCACTGTGGACGCTTCCAAACACAGAGCAAAGTACTGGGTATTCCCACATCCCCCCTAGTTACCTGGCCCCTGCCCGCACTCCCTTGGACAGGGGCACCCCAGTGCAGTTCTGAGGTGCGGCCCAGTGGGTCTGGAGCCGACTCATCCCGCTGCTGCCACAATCCCTGGCTTCGCGGTGCTGTGCCTATAGGTTTCCCTCAACTTTTCATTTTGGAGAACAGCTAACAAACCTACAGAAAGGCTGCAGGAGCAGACCTGCTGTGCTACCACCTTTGGCCGCGCTGCCTGTGCCTGGACCGTCAGGCTGACCGGTGGACACAGGTGCCCTCCCCCTCAATGCCCCAGCACCGCACGGTCCCGGCTGTGGCCGACTGTGACGCCGGCTGCGGGATCGTCTCTCCGGCTCCTTGGCACCAGGACGCTGGGTCTCTGGGACGCGCGGGGGGGGGGGGGGGTTCTGTGACGTCCCCCCCAGTGGGGCTGTTCCATTGCAGGCTGTGCAGAAGCAGGGCAGGTGCCCAGATGCTGCTTGCAGAGGCTCCCCACGAAGACTGCCATTCGTGGGGGTACCCCCTACCCCACCATGGGGCCCGTCTGGAGCAGGCATTGCTGTGGGGCACCACCTCCCGCCGGGTCTACCTGTCGCTATGACGCGTGTACGTGTGGATGTTCATGTTGCCCAGGTGTGGCTGGTGGGAGCCCAAGTGAGTTCTCGGTTTTGAGTGAGGTTCCCCAGACCCGGATCACCCCTTCTCCTGGTCCCTTTTCTGGGGAAATAGTACTTAGAAACCAAGATCGCAGGGCACTGCTTAGACATCACACGCTGAGAACTGAGGGCAAGTCCCAGGATCTGCTGGGGTGGGTCCGGGCCAGTCACCCCCGTGCTGGGCAGCTCACTCTGGCCAGCTGCCGGCACACAAGTGATCCAGGAAAGCCTTCACTGGGCAGGAGTCGTCCGGCCTGGGGAGTTGGGGGTGCTTCATGCCCAGGACGGGCCTGGGTGGCCAGGTCTAGGGTTCTTTGCCACCCACAGGGGCTCCAGGAGGGGCCAGCAGGAGGCAGTGGGAAGCACGTTGGGCCGGGAGCGCCGAGCAAGCCCTCCCACCACCCACAGGGCTGAGCTGACCGCATGCCGGAGCAGGGAGGCTCCCACTGCCCACAGGGCCGAGATGACTGTGGGCAGGGACAGGGCGATGTGTACAGACCCACTGGGTGCCCAGGTGCAGGCAGGGCCCATGACTGGCTCGTGACGAGCAGCATACAGCGCAGGGCGGGGGGATGTGGCCCTGGTGAGGTCACCTTTAACAAAAGGAGCCTCCTGCTGGCCTGGAATTGGTTAAAGCCTGTGGGCAGGGTGGCCTCCAGGAGCCAAGGTCCCAAGGCACTGAGTCGGCCTGGACAATGACCAGGCCTTGGAGGGGAGCCGCGGCGGCCACACTGGACTGCAGCCGTGAGGCCTGAGTGGGGGACACCAAGCCTGGGTTCTGGGCCCAGGGGAAGTGTGAGCTGTCTGCCATGCGGAGCTGCTGAGCCTAGGTGGGCACACAGCCTCAGGAGACCAGCACAGAGCATCAGCACAGGGTCGTGCGGGGCCCCACGAGGAAGGACAGGACTCCTGCCAAAAAAGCGCTTTAATTAGTATAAAGTATCTAAGATTTTTCCACAGAAATAAGTCAGGAAGTTTCCTTCAGTCACAGCGAGGAAGGACACCTGGAGCCGAGAGCCGAGCATGCCCTGGGGCCGGCAGCAGTGCGGGCAGTGGAGACCCAGGCTCCGTCCTGGAGAATACATGTGCAGAGGCCCCGCGGGAACGCCTCAGGAGATGATCCTCAGGGAGGGCTTGCTGTCCTCTAGGGCCTTCAGGTGGTTGTCCACGGCCTCACTCAGGTAGATGTCGTACAGGCTGCACACAGGCCAGGACAGGCGTGGGCCGGGGCCTCGGTGCCACCTGCCCAACCCCACCCTCCTCGTCAGCCCGGCCCCTGGGCAGCCCTGGCCACACTCAGACCCACAGCCAGGGCCCCACAGCGATGGAGGACCTGCACCCCCACCCCCACACTCACATGGCCACGGCCAGGGCCCCGCATACTCACAGCAGCTGCCGCAGAGCACAGCCCGGCTGCCTGAGGCTCTCCACCAGCTGCAGGACACCAGGGTCACCCATGCAGTTGTTGCTGAGGTCCAGCTCACGCAGGCTGCGGCTGGAGAGCAGGAGCGAGGCGAGGGCGGTGCAGCCGCTGTCTGTCACCTCACAGTCACCCAGGCTGGGCGGCAGAGCAGGTCAGAGGTCAAGACAGGTGTGTGTCTACCCAGAGCTAGCCTAATGCCCCTACCCACCAGGAAATCAAGGCCACCAGCGATCCTATGAAGCCCTGAATACCCCTGGCCCTGCAGGGCAGGCTGACATCTCCCCCACCACAGGGCGGCACAGAGTTTCCCTCAGCTCGGCACAGCCCACATACACCTGCCCGAGGCCAGGACATCCTGGACTGCACCCAGCTTCCTGTGGCTGAGGTGCCACCAGAGGGCCTTTCCTGAGGAGGAGTATCAGTGATGTGGTGGGACAATGAGGAAAATGCAGATTCCAGAGGGCTGTCCCTGCAGAAGGCCTCAGACCTCCACATTTAGATGTGTGACAAATACTTGAAGATGTGGAAGGAGCTACGGATTGGACAATGGGAAGCAGCTGGAGGAACTTGCAGACCATGACAAGAAACCCTGGACTGCCTGGAAGAAAGCTGGTGCAGATACTACGTCAAAGGTGCCTCTGGTGAGGGCTCAGGAGGAAGTACGGAGCGGGGTAGAGGGAGGCCATGTAAGCCTGTGTCGTCTGAGGAGACATCTGTCGTCACAAACAGGCTGCTGGTGGGAACATGAACACCAAAGGCCTCATGAGGAAGATGTTATTGAAAACAAGGAAAAGGCGAAACTTGTTACGAGGTGGCAGAAAGCTTGGTTGAATTGCGCCCTACGTTTGCGTGGAAGGAGCTTGTGAGCAATGAACTTGGATATTTAGCTGAGGGAATTTCCAAGCAAAGTGTTGAAGGTGCAGCCTGGTTTCTGCTTGCTGCTTACAGTAAAATGCAAGAAGGAAGAGAGAAATAGAGGGAAGAACTGTTAAGCAAAAAGGAACCAGCACGTGATGACTGGGGAAATTCTTGGCCTACTGAAATTGCAAACAATGCTAAAATTAGGAGATTCGCTGTCAGGAAAACATGCTCTGGAGAGAAGGCCAAGGGTGTGGCTGGACAACCTTATCTTAGTGTTGGAGTGAACAGGTACGTGACTCAAGAATTCCCTCAGCTATCTCAGCAGCAGCCAGGAATAGAGATGAGGTTACCCAGGAAAGATCTGTGGAAGATCCTCTTGTCTAATGGCATGAATCCTCATAATATACACAGGAAACCCACAAGGATCACTCCAAGGGCACAGCATCGAGCCACAGAAGATTATTCTCAGGCCTTGAAACTGAATGGAATCTGACCTGCTGGATTTTGAAATTGTTTGGGACCAGTGATTCCTTTCTCCCCTCCATTTCTCCCCGTTTGGAATGGACTGTCTGTAACTTACCCCAAGCCCGTCCCACCGTTGTATTCTGGGAACAGATAACTTGTTCTCTAGTTTCCCGTGTCTAGAGATGGAAAGGAATTTTGCCGCAGGATGGCTCTCACCCCGTCTCATTCATGGCTGATTTGGACGATGAGATCTGGGACTTCTGAGCTGACATTTAGATGAGATTCTTGAGCTGATACTCTAATGGGTTGAGACTTCAGGGGATGTTGGGATGGGGTGAATGTATTTTGCAGGGGGGATGGACATGAATCTTTGAGGGGCCAGAGAGCAGACTGTAGTAGGCTGAATAATGGCCCCGAAAGATACCAGGTCCTCATTCCTGGAACTGTGTTACCTTATAAGGAAAAAGGATCTTGAGATAAGATTATCTAGGATTATCCCGGTGGGCCCTAAACCCAATCAGAAGAGTCCTTATAGGAGAGAGGCACAAAGAGATTTGACATACACAGAGAAGGCGATGTGCAGACAGGAATCAGAGACAGGAGTGAGGCAGTCACAAGCCAAGGGGCACCTGGAGCCACCAGAAGCTGGAAGAGGCACAGGGGGAGTGTGGCCCTGCCAACACCTTGATTTGGGCTCAGTGATGGTTTTGGACCTCTGACCTCCAGAACTATGGGAGAATAAATTTATGTTGTTTTAAACCAACAAATCTGTGCTAGTCTACCTCAGCAAACATAGGAAACTGATACAGATTTTGGATGTGCTTTCCCACCATCTACTCCTGTGAGCCTGGCTGGTGGGGTTAGGAAGCCAGCCACAGCAGCCGGGAGGGAGCCACCAATGCAGTGCCAGGTGCAGGGGAGACCAAGGAGCAGCTGAGGTCCTGAGCCCTCATGCCCCGAGTCTGGCTGTGAGGAGGAGCAGGAGGATGACGGTCAGAGGGCACACAACAGATGGACAAAAGCTTCTAGGCTTAAGAGAAAGATCGTGGGGTACAGGCCAAAGGAAGGAGGATGGGGAAGGGCAGATGCAGCACCCACTCCTGATGCGGGGGAGGAGCCACCTGCCTTGGTGAAGCGCAGCGCCCCCGCTGCGGCCCCAGCAGTTGGCTGTAGGACTGCCGAGGTCCAGCCAGGACAGCAGGCCAGGGACTGGATGGCAAAAGGGCGCTGTTAGGTCCCATGTGGCTGGCTGACAGCCCATGCCCTCCCAACCTAAGACGAGACTACTCCTTGGAGAGTTTGCACTCCAGGCTCTGGTCTTGGGGACACCAGGCATCACAGAGGACTGGTGGGGTCAGGGCTTAAACAGAGTCAAGTATACACAATGACCAGGATCCAGTGCTTCCTTCACACCCTGGCTCCCAGAATGCCTCCAAGGATCCTGGCAGCCAGGAAGACACCCCCTAGGCAGGAGGCGGGAGGATTTAGAAACTGCTGGTGACAGGCACCACCTCTGAGCTCGGCTTGCAGGCACAGCTCCACAGGGCTCCTTAGCACCCGCCCAAGGATGGCAGGGATCCAAGTCTCCAGTGTGGACCACAGACCAAGACAGATGGAGAACAGAGGATAAAAGTGGCTCTTACATATGACAGCAGAAATGAAAGACTCAGCAGACAGGCTGGAAGATACAGTTGATAACATCTCCCAGAAACAACAACAATTTGAAGAGAAATAAAATCAGAACAAAAAATTAGAGGCCGGTCCACGAGACCTAATGATGAGAGTCCTGGGTGCTCCAGAAAGAAAAAGAAAAAGATGCGAAAAGTCATCAAACCCTACTTCTCGCAGGACGTGGGTCAGAACCCGGCGCCCACCAGATGTCCAGCACAGTAATGAAAAAAGACCCGCATCAGGGCACGGAACGTCGAGCTCCAAAACACAGTGGATAGAGAGGAAAAACAGATTGCACACAAAGGATCACAACAGAGTAAGAACCAGAACAGCAGTCCTCACGGGAAGCCAGAAAATGACGCAGCAGTGCCTTCCAAGTGCGAAGGGAATTCTATACCCAGCCAAACGACTAGAGGGGAGGGGGGAGCAAAGGCTTCCAAAGATTTGCTACTTAGTAGCCATCTCTTAGGAAGCTGCCAGAGAATACCCTTCAGCAGAAGTAGGGGGAAACCAGGACTCTGGGGATGCAGAGCCAGGTCCCTCTGTGGAGGAAGGTGGAGAGTTTCAAGGACGAGCACGTACAGCCAGGCGGGACGCCCACAAGAGGGACGTCACCAAGAAAGAAGACGCGGATGGCCGCGTGACGTCACTGGAGGTATCGTGAGGGAGCGCCCACACCTGTCAGCCGGCCTGAGGAATGAGTCGTCAGCCGAGGAAAACGGGGCACGGACAAGTGCAAGGGCCACGCGCACAGGCGCACATCTGTGACAAGGTGACCATGCAGCAACGTCGGGAGGATGGAGCTGTGGAGACTGTGTGCATGCTGGGGGGGTGTGACCAACGTGTGCCGGCTGCCCTGGCCTCACCCTGCCTCCTGCACGCCCGCACATGGGCACCCACCAGAGCATCTGTAGCGTGGCCCCGGGCTGGCCCAGGCCCTGGCAGAGCTGCTGTACGCCGGTGTCCCCCAGCCTATTGTTGCTCAGCTGCAACTCCAGGAGGGACTTGTTCTGGGCCAGCATCGCACTGAAGTCTGGGCAACAGGCATGCGTGAGGCCGCAGGTCTTCACCCTGTGAGGACAGACAGGATTGCCGTCCTGAGTGGGCCACACCTCCTGTCCTGGGGCCCACGCAGAACTGGGCAGGAATGTCTCCAAGAACTCACCTGTCTGCACAGGTCAGCCCAGAGCTCCCAGGGGCTTCAGCCTCCTCCACCCCCCCCCTCGATGAACTGGCTCCAGCACTGTCCCCCTGGGCCACACCCCTTACTCAGGCCCCAGGACCCCCAGCGCCACCGGGACCCCCAGTGCTGCCACCCTCACCACAGTGACTCCAGCCGACAGCCCGGCTCCCTCAGGGCCTTGCACAGCAGCCGTGCACCCTGGTCCCCCAGCTCGTTGCCCGCCAGGCTGAGCTCCTTCAGGCTCTCCTTGGCATGCAGGACCCGGCTGATCTCCCTGCAGCCCTCGGCAGAGATGTCACACTCCCAGAGCCTGCAGGGGTGGGGGTAGGGGGTCACCTCGGCATGTCTTTGCCATCTGGCTGCTCCACCAGACACGTGCCCTCCCTGACTGCCCCCTCGGGCCAGTGAAGCGGACTGTGCCCGGCCCAGGACCCCTCTGAGGCCAGCTCACCACAGGGTCTTGAGCCTGGAGCTGGGGCTGAGCAGCCCGGGACACAGCGTGGCCACGCCCGCGTCGCCCAGCTTGTTCTCGCCCAAGTCCAGCTCCTGCAGTGAGTCCTTGGCGGCCACAAGGCTGCACAAGTCCTTGCAGTTGGCTGCCGTGACGCCACAGCTCGCCAGCCTGGGGAGACAGGATGGGGGGTGCTCAGGGCAGGACATGGGGGGCAGTATCGGGTGCAGGGAGAGAGTGTGGGGCGCCACAGCAAGGGTGTCGGAGTGCGGGGGGAAAAGCCGGTGGTCCATGGTCCCCTCACCCAGGTCCTGTTCTGCAGCTCTACTCCACGTGGGGACAGATGTCTTTCTCCTGGACACCAAGTGGATCTCCACACCCAAATGCTTTCTAGTCTCCAAAACTGCTCAGACTTTGCGTCCGAGTTCCTCCCCTGCTCCTTCCACTTCCCTTACTCTTGGGGACTTTCCCCTTTTATTCCTGCACTGTTGCTAACAGGGCGTGACCTTCCACAGGCGGCCACACGGCCCCCCCATCAAGTCTGTGGTGCTGACTGCAGCATCAGGGAAGGCGGGGTGAAGGGCTCTGACGTTCGGGGGACAGTGGCTTCAGGAAGTTAACCCCAATGAAAAGGGAGGCTCCCACACATGGGCCCTGTGAGTTAGGGCACTCGAGGCACCGGTTAGAGGGAAGGGGGTCTCCGTCCACGCAGAGCACTGTCTGCATCTTCGTATCCCGAAGGGTGGCCAGTCCCTCCCTCGGTCTGCTGAGCACAGAGCTCAAGACGCAGTAAAAGCTGGGGAGTCAGGACGCTGGGCCGGGGCTCACCTCCTACCACGAGGCCGCCCCCCCCCCCCCGCACGTACCTGAGCGTCTCCAGTGGGCAGCGGGCGCCCAGCAGGCCGCCGCACAGCGCCCGGACGCCGTCCTCACCGAGGTCGTTGTTGCTCAGCACCAGCCCCCTGAGGCCCGGCCGGGCCCGCAGTGCCGTGGCCAGGGGCTCGCAGCCGGCGGCGGTCAGCCTACAGTACTCCAGGCTGCAGGAAGGGGGCGCAGGAGAGCTCGGCCCCCACACCACGGGGCGAGGACACGGCGGTGTCCCAGGAACCCCACTGGACCCAGAAACTTCAGGCCTGCGTGCGCCACAGGGCACCGCCCCAAATACCGGAGCCGCATCACGGCTGCCTCAGCTCTACGCCCGCCCAGCCCCTCCCAGGGCAACACGAGGGAGGGCAGGACAGCTGGTCCCTGAGCGCGGAGCCCACCCCTCGCAGCCCCCACACAGCGGGGGGCTCGCTAACAGGGGAGGGGGGCATACGGGTGGGGTGGGGGGCTCACCCATCTAGGGAGGGGGCACGACCCAAATCTGAGGGGCAAGCGGGTGCAGAGCAGGACTGCTGTCTGACGTGTGGGGAGGTAGGCACAGCAGGGACCCCCCCAGGCAGGTTCAGGCAGATGCCGGGGCATCAGGGACCCCGTATATAACAAACATTCGCTGGGGTCGGACTCACTGCACCCTCTCAAGGTGGCACTGGGGGTCCCGGAGCCCCTCACAGAGCAGCCGCAGCCCCGCCTCGTCCAGGGTGTTGTCACTGAGATGCAGCTCGAGCAGGGAGGGCAGCGATCGCAATGCTCCGGGCAGAGCCGTGCAGCCGGCCGCCGTCAGGGAGCAGTTCTGGAGGCTGCGGGCAGGCAGCAGGTGTCAGCAGGGACGCCCCGGCCCAGCCCGGCAGCAAGCCCCTGTCCGTGCCCCCACTGCCGTCCACACCCCCCACTGTGGGGGCTCTGGGGTCTCCAGCCCCGGGCAGGTGGAGGCGTGCAGAGGGCACTGGGCGGCGCAGGGAGCCAGCAGTGACAGCAGGGCGGCTGGGGGGCTTCCCGCCCGCGGGGCCCCAGGCCGCTCACCTCAGCTTGCGGATCTTGCGGGCGGGGCCCTGCAGGGCCTGCAGCAACCGGCGCAGTCCGGCGTCGCCCAGCCCACTGTTGTGCAGGCTGAGCTCCGTCAGCGAGGGGTTGGCCTGGAGGGCAGAGCTGATGTCCTCGCACCGGACCTCCGTGAGGCCGCAGTCATCCAGCCTGTGGACGGGACGCTCATTTAGGGCAGCCCAGGGCTCGAGGGGCATCCAGGCCGCACGCCGTGGCCCGCCAGTGCCGACGCCAACAAAGTGGGTGAAAGCCAGGATATTTTAAAAAATGAAACGGAACAGTGAGCATCGTTCCTGACGGTTTTGTGGGAGATCTTTACCCGTGTGGGCTGTGGGCCCCGGTCTAGACCCACGGCTCACTGTGGTCACTCACAGTCTAGATGCCCCTGGCCTCCCTGCAGGAGAAAACCATGCCTGTAAAGGCAGTGACCAAGCACGTGCGCGGGAAGGGGGGCTGTCAGAGGCCACGGGCTGGCACGAGGGCACCCGCAGCCAAAGCCGGACCGGCCTGAGCACCAGATGGATGATGCTGAGAGCCCCCGGCCGGTGAGGCTGGGCAACTGCATCGGTAAACGAGAACCAGCGGCTCCCACCAGGCAGTGCCGGAGGAGCATGCGGCTAGGGATCCCGTCAGGCCGACCCACCGATGGCGCGGGAGGGGAGGCGGAGGAGACGGGGTGTCAGCGCCTTCCGCAACATCCCGCCCGATACTGGTCCATCACCAGGAAGAACAGTGACGCAACAGCGGAGGCCCCGGACCACCACGGACACGCCAGGTGAACAGGGAGGTGCCGTCCAAGTGGGGTGAGACGTGAGGAGCTGGATGGGTCTGTAGGCTCGGGGAGCCGCTCCACAACCCTCCGTGCGTCTGAAACTGCTTCTAAACAGACGCTGAGAGACCAGGACCAGGCCGGCCCACGTTCCTCTGTCCCTGAGGAGCCGCAAGAAGCCAGTCCCACAGGGACGCAGTGCGCACCGGAAGCTTCCACGGCCACGCAGCTGAGCAAGCAGCCCCCTGCCCCACACCCTCCCAGGAGGGGTGTACCTACCTGATGACCTCAACCTGCTGCATCTGGGGCAGGAGCTCCTTCCACTGTGTGTCACTCAGGCACTCACACTGGATATCGAGGTTCATGGTGACAGGAGACCGGTGCTCTGCGTTGGGGGGGGGGAGTGTCTCAGCCAAGCCCTCAGGGTGCGACAGGCTGAGGTCCAGCAAACAGGACCCAGGAGGCTGGCGCTGCAGGAGACGCTTCAGTCCGTCCCTGGCGAGTGCCTGCGTCACTTCTGCGCCTCTGGACCTCTGGCCACCATGGTCCCAGGAAGGCGGAGGGGGTGTGGCTCTCCAGGAGAACTTGGGGGACCCAGCACGCCAGCCCAGCCCGGAAGGAGGCCCATAGGGCCCAAGATGCCAGGGCTGTGCTCTCCTCCCAGCCTCCCCGCCCAAAAGGGCACCCCAAGGAACCCCAAATCTGTTCACCAGCCGAAGCCCTGCCTCTCATTTGCCTGGGCAGGGACGGGAACCAGCGCGAGGCTGTGGAGGCCCACGGGGTCCATACGGATCTGGGGGATGCCCCTCTTTCTGCCAGCTCTGGGCTGTTTCCGGGAATGGGAGGCCTGTGCTGAAGGGCCCACGGGACACAAAGAGCCTGCACCTGAAACCTCCCCAGCTGGAGCAGTGAGTGGGTGGTCAGACGGCTCCTGTGGGCACCAGCCACAGGCCCTGGACAGGACAGGACAGGCAGAGCGCAGAAGAATGTGGGCCCTGGGCAGGTCACAAGCTCTGAGGCCTCACCAGGGACAAGCACGGAGCCCAAAGAAACCTGTCTCCTGACAGCAGAGTCCCAGGGCACTGGCCCGTCAGGGCCAACCTCCTGAGGCGTCAGGGTGCAGGGGCCAGGAGCTCAGGGACCACCTGCCCAGAGGACTGGGAGCTCAGGGGAAAAGCTGTACATCCAGCCCCACTCTCCGGGCGGTTATCAAAAGCACTGTGGATGGCGCCCGCTGCCAGGCCTCGGCGGCCACATTTCCTGAGCACTTGCCATCTCAGCCATCAAGGAGCCCCAGAGGAGAGGAGCGGGTGGGAGATGGGGATGGGGGCCAGGCGGGAAGTTCGGTGTCATTCAAGAGCAACAGCAGTGAGCCGAAGATGGATCAAGGCTGGAAGTGATGCCATCAGAGTTGCCCTTTAGAAAGGTCAAGCCGGGCAGGACCTGCACCAGGGGGGCGGGGAGGGAGGGCCAAGGCCTCGGGGCAGAGACTGAAAACCTAGGTGGTGAGAGTGACTGGTGCCACGGTGGTCCCACAACGTGCCCTCAGCATCCCCCCGGTGTCCCCTCAGCGTCCCCACAACACCCCCTCAACATCCCCACAACATCCCCTCAGTGTCCTCACGGCGTCCCCATCTCCTCAGCGTCCCCACATCCCCTCAACACCCCCACAACATCCCCTCAGTGTCCCCATCTCCTCAGTGTCCCCACAGCGTCCCCGTCTCCTCAGCGTCCCCATGGCGTCCCCATCTCCTCAGCGTCCCCATGGCGTCCCCATCTCCTCAGCGTCCCCATGGCGTCCCCGTCTCCTCAGTGTCCCCACATCCCCCCTCCCCTCGTTCTCCGCTCACCTGTACCTCCACAGCATCCCCCACATCCCCTCATCATCCTCACGGTGTCCCCTGTCCCTTGTTGTCCCATCATCTACATGGTGTCCCCCATCCCTTCATCATCTCCATAGCGTCCCCTCATCCCCAGTGTCCCCTCAGCAGGTCCCACGTGCATCACCTGGGGCAGTACATAGGCCCTTCAGTGAGGGGATGCCCCTGGGGGGGCACATCGGTCTGGGGGGGGCACATCAGCCTGCCCTGTTCACTCTTAGAGCTACTCAGGCTGTGATGTGGAGCAGAGGCCTCAGGACGGGGACCCAGCCCTGGGCTCAGAGGCCAGCAAGTCCCAGGGAGGGGCTTTAGGGAGGGGTCTCAGAGAGGGGTCTCGGGGAGGGGCCTGGGAGGAGGTGCCACAGCTGGGCAGCAGAACACACTTCTTGAAACCAGAGGCCACAGCTAAGCTGGGTCAGGGGAAGTGGCCCAGTGACCAAGAGGGACCCACGGAGGCCCCCTCATGTCCAGCAGGTGCCAGAGAGCAGAGGATAATGGGGTCAGTGACAGGAGGCCTGGGAGGAAGCTGGCCACCACCCCACCCTGAGGGCGAGCCTCATTGCCTACTTCCTGTGAGGGGGCCGGAGCTGTCAGGAGGGGAGGCCGCCCACGGGGCCAGGCCAGCTCATGGGCAGGGGGGTGGGGTGGGCATGGTAGGGACCTCGACAGAGGGGAACACCAAGGGGAACCAGCACTTTCCACCTCAAGCACCCTGGGAGCTGCGCGCAGCCCTAGGGAGGACTCCCGGCCCCTCCACTGCCAGTGCTCAGTGCTCAGGGTCAACACTCGGGAAGACTTTGCACCTGTGGGAGGTGGCCAGCTGGCCCCTAGCCCCTGCCAGGCCCTGCTTGGACGGAACTCAGCTCCCAGCTCAATTGCAGAGCCCTGTTGGAGAGGTGGCCCACACACCCAAGACTGGTGTGAGGTGAGTGTGGAGCCCACCCCCCCCAACCATGGCCCCCTAGGTCCCCCCGCCGGCTGTCTTTCTACACATCCCACGGTGTCAGCAGTCAGGATTCCTGGGTCTCCCCCCCTGGAGTGGCCTACAAGACCCTTCCCAATGGCCCATCCCACCTTCTGCCCCCCAGGAACCCCAGACCTAAGCTCACCGTTCCCCCATCACCTGCACCTTCTCGCCTCAAGTTTGCACCTGCTGACCCCCTGCTCCAATGTCCCCCCCTCCCCACAGCCCCTTGGTCACCAGCCCCGCCAGGCACAGTTCAAATCCCTGACAGTCCTGTCCCACTGCACTGTGAGAACACTGTCCTCATCCTTGCTGTGCCGCATCTGGCATGGCCTGGTGCTGCTGGGGTGCGATGCCTCCCGCCCAGAGGCACCCGCTTCCAGCCCAGAGGCCAGATTCACTGTGCACCTCTTAGCTCACGTGTCTGCTGAGGAAACTGAGGCAGGGCATGTGTAATTCGCCAGGGCTGCACAACTGTCCCACGGAAGAGCTGGAGTCTGCCAGGCTACCGCACCCGCCACACCCCCAGGAGCCCAGGCTGTGGTCACCCCCCGAACCCTGGGACTCCCAGGAGCTCAGGGGCTGCAGAGCCTGACACCCTCGACAGGGGAGGGCCCACCCTGGCACCCGGCACACACCACAGCCCCACTGTTCTCCCCTCACCAAGGCAGTGCCTTTACCCTGAACCCGGGCTGGCATTCCTGCTCCTCAAACAAGGGGCTCAGTGAGAAATGCGCTTCAAAACATCTGGATCAGGGACCTCAGCCAGGGCAGGGTGGGGAGGCAGATTGTATGTACAGCCCCTCACATCTCCTCCTGGGCCGGGGGTTCCGCAAGTGGATATTGGGAAACACATGGCTGAGCTCTGGGTCTGCTCCTCCGGGGTGATCTGGGGTGGGACGAGGACGCCAGCAGATGGGGAGACCCCTGTCCCCTGAGTTGAATCAAAACCCATGGGGACTACCCAGAAGACCAGTTCTCGGCCTCTGGGTCACTGGCCCCTGGGGGTCCCCAGAAAGCCACACGCATGTATCACCTGTATACAATCTGCCCTCCTACCCCTGCCCGGCTGAGCTCCCTGATCTAAATGTGATAAAGCCCACTGTGGCCCTGGCTGCACCCTGAATCAGGGCCCCGCACCCAGCCTGCAGCAGCCCCTTCTGACCATGGGGGCTGTTACCTGGCTGGCTCTCTAAACTGTGAGAACAGGCCCACAAGTTCAGAGGGCAGAAGTTGGATCCTTTCCAACCTCTGGGTCTGAAAAAGTCTCAGAGCAAAGGGCATTCCATAAGGAAAATGGGAGGGGCCCCTAGAGGCTGAGGGGCCTGCGATCAGGGCCCAAGCTAAGAACCCAGCCGTCTGGGTCTGTTATTACCCGCTCCTACTCCTCCTGCAGAGAAGGAACTGAGAGGCGAGGCGAAGAGTTCAGCCAGACTGCGGACAGCAGAGGTGGGGAGGTGCCCAGCACGCACACAGGACAGATCCCACGTGTCTCTGCCGATGGGCACGTGCGGTTACCTCCGGGAGATGAGACGGCCCAGTGGGATCCAGGGCGCCGAGACCAGGCCCCAGACAGAGCTGACAGAGGCCCCGCGGAAAGAGAGCAGGCTGGGGGCCGCCGGGGGCTGGGGACTAGCCATGGGCCCGGGGCCAGCCAGGGACAGCTCGAGCTGGACAGGGCAGCCGCCGCCCTGCGTGCGGGCCCGAGGTTCCGCATGGTTTTCAGGCCAGGTCAACCCCGCGGCCTGGGGGCCAGCGACGGGGGAATTTTCTAGAAAAAACAGGGCCGTTCTCAGATGACCGGGGCCAGAGAGGCTCCTGGAGAAGGTTTCAGGCGCCGGGAAAATGGCCTTTGGGGGGAGCCGAGGAGGGGCGCTTTCTGGCGGCGCCTCTCCGGCCACGGCGCTCCGGCCGGGTCCACGCGGGTTCCGGACCCTCCGCAGGGTGTTAAAGGGCCAGGAAGGATCCAGAAAAGCACCTTTTCCTACCCAGGTACGCGGCCCCGCAAGGCCAGCCAGAGGCCGCGCCCGATTTTCGGGTTTGATGGGTCAGACTTGGCCCAACCGCCACGGCAGCCGCCCACCTAGCCTTCGCGCCGTCGCTCCTTGCGCCTGCGGGGTACCGACCCCGGCGCTGCGAGACCTCGGCGGGGCGGGGTCTCCGCGGGGCGGGAAGGGGCGGGGTCTCCGCGGGGCGGGGCTCTGCTCCTCCGGGTCTCGCCCCGCCCCCTCCAGACCCTCACTGCTCAGGGCACTCGCCTCCGGAAGGGGCCTGCCTCTGCCCCTCCCTGCCTTACCGATTGCCCTCAAGTGGATTCCGACTCTTAGCGACCATACAGGACACAGTAAAACTGCCCCGTAGGGTTTCCAAGGAGCTGCTGGTGGATTCGAACTGCCGACCTTTTGGTTAGCAGCCGAGCTCTAACCCACTGTGCCTCCAGAGCCCCCTACAGGGTTGGCGCAGTGGGTAAAGCAACTGGCTGGTAACCGATGGGTCAGCGGTGGAAAACCACCGGGGGCTGCGGGAGAAAGATGTGGCAGTCAGCTGCCTTAAAGATTTACAGCCTTGGAAACCCCATGTGGTCACTGGAGGGCAGTGGGTTTCTCCCTGCCTTAAAGCCCCATACACTCGGGCCCACCTGCCGCGCAGGGGCTGTTTGCGAGCGGGCTCCCCCTAACTGAGCCTGCACCGCAAGCTGCGCGGCCCCGGGCAAACCCCACAACCCCTCCAGATTCCCCACCTTCTGGCCCCAAATCGAAGGGCCAATCTTGAGTCAAGACAAAGGGTCACTTTACCTCCCAGGAGGGGGGAGACCAGGTGCCGCGACGCTCCGAAAGGTGGGGGCCTGGCGCGCGCCGGGGAAGGGACAGGACGCGAGGAGGGCTGGCGCCCGCGGAGCCTCCCTCCCTCGGCCCCCTCCCACCAGCAGGCCGCCGAGAATCTCCCAGAGCGCAGAAAACACCGAGCCCAGACTCACAGCTTTCTGCTAGGAGACGATAGAAATGGAAACGGCTGGTGATGACTCGTGGAAGGGTGTGGTGAGTTCAGGCTCCGGGAGGTCCGCCTGGCCTCCACAGCCTCCCCACACGGACCAGGAGGAGCCTCCCTGTGTGAGCTTGCAGACTTAGTCAAGATGTCTTCGTTGGACTCCGTTTAAGTGCCAACCTGGCAATCACTTCCGTCTGTCAGCAGAAAAATGATGGACTAACTACCGACCGCCCCTGCTCTGCCAGGTAGAGACCGTATCTGAGGGCAGAGACCCTCAACGGTGCACTGCGAAGTTTCTAAAGTGCAGAAAAAGACGTATCATAGCGCTGATGTTTGGAAAAGCCCTGCGGCCGGCATGGAGCGTGTAGGTCCTGGCATGAGTGGCCCCTCCTGTGTGCAGGCACTGTTCTAGGGGCCTGGGCTCCACCAGTGAGCAAACTGGGCCAAGTCCCTGCCATCGGAGCTTACCTGCCGGGGGCAGTAAAAACGGAAATCAACAGTGTTTACAATGTGGTAGATGCGATGGAAAAAATAAAGCAGGGGAAAGGGGAATCAGGAGTGGTGGCAAGGCAGGCCGGGGTCCCCGTCCTCACCAAGGAGGTGAGGGTGAGCCCTGAGCTAGGGGCTGGGGGCTGAGGAAGAGTGGAAAGTACCTTCTTAACAAAAATCACAGTTCGGGCACCCTGTAGACCAGCCTGTTGCTGGAGCCAGGAGAGTAGCTGCCAGACAAGGCCTAAAGCATCTCTCCAGGCATCCTGTAGAGCGCCTCTCCCGGCATCCTGTAGAGCGCCTCTCCCGGCACCCTGTAGTGCTGTGAGCAACAAGGCTGAGTACCGGCTGGCAGGGCCTGTGTTCTCATAGCTTCACTCTGCCTGTGCTGAGAATGGGCTGTATGAGGATCAATGAGAGGGACTGCAGAGTGGGGGTGAAGGCACGGGAGAGGAGACAGGGGCTACTGTAGGAAGTAGGGTGGAGCTGACACCACAGAAGTGGGGGCCCGGGATGGCTTGTGGTGTGTGTGGGGGACCAGCATGGCTCACAGTGAATGGGGGGGTGGGTAGGATAGCTCATGGTCTGTGTAGGGGACCAGCATGGCTCACAGTGAATGCTGTGGGGGGCCGGGATGGCTCATGGTGTGTGTGTGGGACCAGCACGGCTCACAGGGCATGGAGGGTAGGATGACTCATAGTGTGGGGGGGGG